TTATACCGGAAAGGTGCGGGAACGAGAAAGCGCCTGAGCCTACCCGACATCCAACACCCAACACCCAGAGGTTTTATAAGATTTCCCCTAAAAACTCTCCAGCATTCCGAATCGCACTAGTACCGTTTATTGAGAACGCCTCTAGAATTATTTTTCAAGCTAGCATAGTTCCGGCGATGCGATATTTCGCGTCTTCGTCACGCGAAAATACGTCACGTGCTAATTCAGACGCAAACTCCTTCTGGTAATGAGCGCTTAGAAAGGACTCATTAGCTGCCCGTATGGAAACGGTTCCACCTGAACGCGACGCATTGCCCGTCCGCGTGAGATTATTTGTCGGCGGGCTGCCCGGGAACGTCTCAGAAGATGAAGTTCGAGGAAGATTCCAGCCGTTCGGGCAGGTCAACGAAGTCAACGTGATTCTTGCCAAGTCGCACCAATTGCTCCCCGCGTCCTTCGCGGCGCCTCCCTCGCTGCAAACAGATCCTGGCCGTCCATTTCAAGAGGCGAACGGAGATGAAGCCGATCGGCAGTGCAGCCCCGTGGCAGTGTGCCGTGGCTTTGCTTACGTGGACATGGTTCCCAAGTCCGCCAAGGCCTTGCACCAATGCTTGTCGCTGGTGGGTCTCTCGTCATATATTGTACGCGTTATCACCGATCCGTTACCGCATATAGTCCTCATCCATCCCTTTATGCGCGTTGCCGTCCACCTTTTATTCTCCCCCAACCGCACTCTCTTCCCCCCTCAACCTCCCTTCCCCCCACCCCCTCCCCCACTTACCGCCGGCCCCGAGCCGTACAATGTTTGCAAATGGAAGGGAGGAAGCCGCGGGAAAACCCCATAACCCCCTCCTTTTTCCTTTTTCCCAACCCTTCCGAAACCCCCCAATACAACGGGCGCATGGGATAGTTGGGGCGGATGCGCCGTATGTTTTTTTGAGAATTCCCAAAAAAACGTAGGAAGCAACAAAGGAGATTTTTCTCAAGCAGGAAGTCCGTATACTTTTTGAGACGTCTCAAAAATAACCTATCTACACATGTTTTTCTCGAGCACGAAGTCCGTATGCCCCTCCTCTTGTTTTCACTTCTCTCCATTCCCCCACTCCCGCAGTACAACGGGTGCATGTGGAAGGGGGGAAGGATGCGCGTGGAAGCAGCAAGGAAGATTTTTCTCGAGCAGAACGCCAAGGAGCGGAGCGAGAGGAGAGGGAGAGGGAGGAGAGGGAGGAGGCCGAGGAGAGGCCCCTTGAGTCCGAACCTGCACTTCAATTCAAACCCTCCCTCCCTTTACCTCCCCCGCCTTTCTTTCCCCCTACCCGCACAGTACAACGGGTGCATGAGGAAGGGGGGAAGGATGCGCGTGGAAGCAGCAAGGGAGAGTTTCCTCGAGCAGGAAGTCCATATACCCCCTCTCTTTTTTTCACTTCTCCCCATCCCCCTACATGTTACATGTGCGCAGTACAACGGGTGCATGTGGAAGGGGGGCAGGATGCGCGTGGAAGCAGCAGGGAGAGTTTTTCTCGAGCACAACGCCAAGGAGCGGAGCGAGAGGGAGAGGCAGGAGGCCGAGGAGGAGGCAGAAGCGAGGGCGAGGGCGGAGGCGGAGCGAAGCGGTGGTGGTAACCGGGTTATGCAGGCCTCTGCCAGTGGGTGTTTGAGCCCGGTGGAGGTAGCTGCATTGAAGGCACGGAAGCTAGAGCCGATGAACCTGGCTTGGCGCGGAGGGAAGAAGGTACGTGCCTGCCTTCTTGTCTCCCTCACTCCCTCACTCCCTCACTCCCTCACCCCTCACTCCCTCAACCCCTCATTCTCAATTCACCCTTGAGCCCAGAGGAGGTAGCCGCCCATGAACCCATGAACCCATGAACCCATGAACCCATGAACCCATGAACCCATGAACCCGTGCACTCAAGACACGGGAGCTGGAGCCCATGAACCTGGCATGGCGCGGAGGCAAGAAGGTAACTGGCTCTGTCAGTCTTGCCCCTCATTCGCCCCTTTCTCCCCCACTCACTCACTGTCTCGCCCCGTGGGTGTTTAAGCCCTGTTGAGACTCTCAAAACCCCTCTCTCTCTAAATCCCCTCTCTCTCAATCCCCTCTCTCTCTCAATCCCCTCTCTCTCTCAATCCCCTCTCTCTCTCAATCCCCTCTCTCTCTCAATCCCCTCTCTCTCTCTCAATCCCCTCTCTCTCTCAATCCCCTCTCTCTCTAAATCCCCCCTCAGATGCCAGCGCATGCCAGCAATTGGGCCGGGGTGTGGGCGGCACAAGCTGAGCTTCCACCTGCTTTCTGAGACAGCTTGATAAGGCTGTCAACATCTCCTTGTCAACCCCTCTCAATCCCTCTCAACCCCTCTCAACCCCTCTGAACCCCTCTGTTCCCCCCCTCCTCAGACGCGGCGCATGCCGGCAGCGGGCGGGCCGGGGTGTGGGCGGCACAAGCTGAGCTTCCAGCGGCTTGCATTCGAGCCCTCCCTCTCCGCTGTTCTTGCCACGCGCCGCTGCTGCCACCGCTGTTGCTGCTGCTGCTCCTGATGAGGATGGTGATGATGGTTGCTGCTCGTGCTTCTGCTGCTGCGGTTGCTGCTCGTGCTGGTGTTGCTTCTGCTGCTGCTGCTGCTGCTGCCTGCTGCTGCTGCTGCTGCTGCTGCTGCTGCTGTGGGGGGAGGGCAAGAGAGAAGGAAGGGTGGAGGAGGGGAGGGTGCTGAAGGGTATGCTGGTTTTGGGGAGCAGCAGCAGTGGGAGGAGCATGAGGAGGTGAAGGAGGGGGGGGAGGAGGATGAGGGGTTGGAGAGAGAAAGGGAGAGCAGAGGCAACTGCTGCAACGGGTTCCTGATTATGGAAGGGGAAGGGCGGAGGCGGAGGGGGGGAAGGTGGAGGGGGGAGGGATGGGCGTTGCGGGGAGTAAGGGAGATAGGGCGGAGAAGGGCGCAGAGGGAAGGGATGGGAGTGAGAGTGGTGGGCGGAAGGGGAGTGAGATGGGGGGGGGGGAGATGGTGATGTGGTGATGAGCGAGAGGCGAGTTGGGGAAGAGGCGGAAGAGGGGGAAGCGGAAGAGGAAGGGGAAGAGGAAGAGGAAAAGGATGAGGAGGAAGAGGAGGAGGATGAGGAGGAAGAGGAGGAGGATGATGGGATTGAACATCAATCTGACATGGAGTGGGCCGAGCAAAGGCAGCACAGGCAGCAAAGAAGGCAAAGGAAGCAAAGGGAATGAGAATATCAGTAGTAAGGTGGTGCAGGAAACGAGGTCTAGGGCTGTGGCAGGCACAGGAGGTGCAACTGGTGTGGGCGGTGTGGGTGGTGTGAGTGGTGTGTTAGTTGGGGGCACGGATGGTGCAGCAGAGGGTAAGTGGGGGCAGAAATTAGCAGGGATGAAAGGGGTAGAAGAGAAAGTTGGTAGGGAGAAAGGTGTAAAAGAGGTGGTGGTGGAAGGAAAAGTGTTTGGGAGAAAGTGGTGGTGAGTGAGAAGAAGGAACAAGTTGAGAAGACAGGGGAGGGGGGGTCGCGATGGGACAGGCTGTTTGCTGTTGCTTCGTGTGATGTGGAGGAGGAGGAGGAGGAGGAGGAGGAGGAGGAGGAGGAGGAGGAGGAGGAGGAGGAGGAGGAGGAGGAGGAGGAGGAGGAGGAGGAGGAGGAGGAGGAGGAGGAGGAGGAGGAGGAGGAGGAGGAGGAGGAGGATGAGGATGAGGAGGAGGAGGAGGAGGAGGAGGAGGAGGAGGAGGAGGAGGAGGAGGAGGAGGAGGAGGAGGAGGAGGAGGAGGAGGAGGAGGAGGAGGAGGAGGAGGAGGATGAAGGGGAGGAAGAGGAGGAAGAGGAGGAAGAGGAGGAAGAGGAGGAAGGGGGTGTAGAGGAGGGTAATGGGGAAGAGGGGAATGAGAGATGGCAGAAAAATTGGGGAAGGTCAAATCTGGAGGGAGAGAGCATGGAAGAGGATATATTGGAAGAAGATGAGTTGGAGAAGAGTGAGGAGGGTGAGGAGAGTGAGGAGGGTGAGGAGAGTGAGGAGGGTGAGGAAGAAGTAGGGGAGGAGGAGAAAGAAGTCAAGAGGATAAAGGTAATGAGAGCAGGAGAGGAGCGAGGGGAGGAGGAGATGGAAATGAAGGAGGGGGGTGCAGAGGAGGGGGAGGGGGAGGGGGAGGGAGTGGAGGGCGAGATAGTGGAGGAGGGTGAGGGAGAGGAGGGAGAGATAGAGGAGGAGGGTGAGGGGGATGAGGAGGGAGAGATAGAGGAGAAGGGGGGAGGAGAGGAGGAAGGTGAGGGAGAGGGAGAGATAGAGGAGGAGGGTGAGGGGGATGAGGAGGGAGAGATAGAGGAGAAGGGGGGAGGAGAGGAGGAAGGTGAGGGAGAGGAAGAGGGGAAGGAAAAGTTGGAGGGCGAGGAAGAGGAGGCGGGCATGGGAGAGGCAGAGAGTGAAGGAGAGGAGGAGGGTGAGGAGGGTGGAGCAGGGAGTGAGGATAAGGGAGTAGATGAAGGGGAGGAGGAGGAAGGTGAGGGGAGTTGAGGAGGAGGAGGAGGATGTGGAGGAAGGTGAGGAAGAAGGGGAGGAAGAGGAGACATCAGGGGAGGGGGAAGAGGAAGAGGAGGAGGAGGAGGAGGAGGAGGAGGAGGAGGAGGAGGAGGAGGAGGAGGAGGAGGAGGAGGAGGAGGAGGAGGAGGAGGAGGAGGAGGAGGAGGAGGAGGAGGAGGAGGAAGGGGAAGGCAAGGGGAGTGATAAGAGCACAAGAAAGGGGGCAGAAGTGCCTTCGTGGGACAGTCTATTTGCTTTGGCTGCTGGGGAGGGTCTTGGAGCTGGGGAGGGGAAGGGGAAGGAAGATGGGAGGAAGGGCTCTGTGACAGATGGTGGTGTCAGTGGTGGGGAGGGAAGAGGAAAGGGGCATTGGAGGGGCCTAGTGAGGGGGGGAAAGGGGGAAAGCGCCAGAAGACAGAAGGGCTGGAAGCAAAGCCAGCTAGTGATGGTGCTGGCAGTGCTGCTGCTGCTGTTGGTGGTGTGGTGGTGGCACTGGTGTTGCTGCTGCTAGTGCTGGTGGGGCTGCTGCCGATGCAGCAGCAGCAGCAGCAGCGAGTGGGGGTTTGGCGGAGAGGCAGGAGCAAGTGGGCAGTGCGTGGGTGCAGAAGTTCACATGGAAATCGCTCACCAGTGCTGATGGCAAACTCTCCTTCTCCCTCAAACCGGTTCTGGGTGAACTGAAGGGCAGTGAGGCACAGGAGGAGGGAGGTGGGACGAAGGAAGGTGGAGGTGGGGAGGATGGGAAGGGGGAGGTGCCTCGAGGTGGAGAGGGACAGCAGGACGGAGGAGACGGGAGACGGAGGCGGGACGAGGTGGGAGGAGGGAAGGGGGGTCGTTGTTTGGGGCAGAGCTGGTAGCGCCTGTAACAACTGTAACAACTGGCTTCAATGGTGCTGGTGCTGCTGGGGTTGGTCTTGGTGCTGCTGCTGGTGGTGGGATTGCGGGGAGAGGGGACGGTGGGGGAAGAGGATGGAGAGGGGGGAGAGGAGGGTTGTTTGGGAGGGGGAGGGGAATGGGTGGAAGGGGAGGAAGGTTGGATGGGGGTGCAGGAGAGGGGGAGGGAGGAGGCTCATCTGGGGGAGGTATACCTGACCTGTTGGCTTTGGAGGAAGCGAGAGGGGCAGGTGATATGGAGAAGCTTCTGATGGACATGGGAGGAAGCTTCCTCAAGTGGGAGGCGGAGGAGGGGAAGTGGAACCGCAAGAAGAATGAGCTGCGGCTGGAGTTGAAGCGGCAGCAGAAGTTTGCTCTGAGGAAGATGATGAAGTGAAGCTTTTCAGGCCTGCATTTCTGTTGGGATGTGCCTTGTGGAATAGGGAAGGCTAAACTGACACTACAAGTGTGTTGGAAAAGGTTTTAGGCTGTACTTTGGAGACTCAACTGGCCCACAGATTGTTGCGCAGAGAAAGGTGATAAAAGGGCTGTAAATGAATATGATTATAAAACTTGCTTGGAAAAAAACTTGCTTGGAACTGCTTCATTCAAGCTGCACAAAGTGGCATTTCTTTGGGAGTGTTGCGCTTCACGTCTTGCTAAATTATTATAAGCAAACAACATCTCAGAGATGTAACTAGACTGGTTACACCACAATTCTCTGCTGTGCTGTTCTTTCGCAACTCCAGCAGAGTGGCTGGAAATGTGAGGTGGTGCGGCAAATTCTGATCCGAAACAGTTCTCGTTCACAGCAAAGTGGTACAGTCCATATCCGCTCTCGAGTCGCGGACATCGCTTTTCTGCTCAATCCTCGTCAGCAAGAACTGGTGGCTTGAAAACAGTGGTTGGAAGCAATTTTGACTCCAGCGTCTGGGCAGTGGGGTGTCCGTTGGGCAGGTTTCTGGTCCTGCACTTGGACAAATCGTGGATTTCTATTTGTGGTGACGAGACCGCCACTTCAGCCACGTCAAATCTCCGCAGGTAAGGGAATGAAAGTGGCCAGCAATGTGGACTTTATTCAAGCCGCGTGACGGGAAATATTGGTGAAGTCGAGGCACCCTACCATAGACCCTCTCAAACCGTCTTGTAACTGTCAGTACCACCGTAGACCGCGGGTCGGTCAATGAAATAGTTGCTGTGTGTTGGCTGGGTTGGCATCAATCGCGCTGGACTCCCACCGCCTGCTCATGACGGACTAGGGTTTCGTGTGGCTGCTGCTGCTGCTGCACTCTAGAGATGCTGGTTGATGAAGCTACGTAGGTTGACGAAACATTCGTGCATTTATTCCCTCACTAAAAACTCGGTGCAAGGGTTGGCGGGAAAGGTGATAAAGAGGACATTCAGGCAGTAACAAGCAACTCGGCTGTGTTTCTTTCCGTCCCTCCACTACAAGCTTCGCTCCGCTTCGAGTAGTTGCGAAACCCGTCAACCCAACAACCCTAGGCGCGACCTAAGGTTTACGGTGAAACACATAATAAGCAACATTATTTACTAAAGCTAATCGTTCGTGCCAATGGAGGCCAGCGTAACACCAGCATGGAAGGCACAAGCGCGTACACACGCGACCGCCATTTCTACCGCTTCCACCGCCAACTCCTCCCTCGCGGCTTCAGCTTACGTGTCGTCCGCCGTGCCGAAGGCGCAGCACCACCACAGCCAACGACGCGGCCCCGGCTTTCTCTGCCCGCGCTCGCGGATCGTTTACATGCGCGCACCGTTCACGCGGCCACACAGGCGGCACGTTCCTAGCGTGCTCGTACCGTCGCGGTCGGGGAGGCGCGGCCGCGGAGACGGCCTTAAATGCGATGTGTTAGTGCCTGGGTGTCCTTCTCCCGGCGAGCTGAGTGAAGGGGAGGGGGAGAATTCGCGCGGACCGGACGGGCTCCGGTGGAGGCGCGGGCAGAGGGGCTCGGCGCGCAGCGAGAATTTGGCGGTGGAGCAGCAGGCGGAAGAAAAACCCGATAATTGGGACTTTGTTGGGTCAAGTGGCGATTCTTCGGGTTCTGGAGACGAGGGTTCGAATCCTCATGAGTTCACATTTTCGGCGGAGAACAGTGTGATGGTGGACCAAGTGCGAATGCTACAGCACATCCACTCCTGCGCGCACGCGGAAGAGGATCTTGCGGGAGGGGATGCAAGGGGGATAATGCGCGCGACCGCCGGGGGGATGAAGCCGCGCGTGCTGAAAGCAAGCACGCCGATTCGTGATATTTATAAGTCGGAAGGTACGCCAGGCGAAGTTCGCCAATTCAGGGTTAGAGGGGGAAAGTACGTATGGAAAAGGAAGGTGGGAAAAGGGAGAAGGTTGGGGGAATGGAGGTCCGTGGACGTGAATGGGGTCACGGAGGAGAGACATGAGACTGTACATACGCATATCCCCGTATCGCCCCTCTTCCCATCTCCCACCAGCTCTCCCCTCCTTTCCTTCTTCCGCCCTTTCTTTCCCCCTTGAACCCGCACCGCCACCCCCTCTCACCCTCGCCGATAACCGCATTCGATTTTTTCTGTATTCTCTTATCCGGGCTGCCTCTTTCCCTATTCCCACATTGCTTTCACACCCGCGGTCCCACTTCCCTGCTCCCCGCACCCCTCTTCTCTCGCATTCCCCTCTTCTCCCCCTCCCTCCCCCCCCCATCCCCACCCCCACCCCCCCTCTCTTTCCGTTTTGTTTTTGTTTTTGTTTTTTTTGTAAAAGGTGCTGTGCATCTAGGCGGAGCCTCCGTTCCGCGTCGCCCTTACTTCCCCCTCGCCTTCTCTCCGCTCCACACGGTTCCCTCCTCCCCCCTTCCCCCCTCCTTCCCCCCCCTCACCTCCCCATTCCTCTCTTCCCTCTCCTTTCTCCCCTCTCCTTCCTCCCTCGGTTCCGGCAGGTCCTATCGACGAGGATGTGGTGTGCATGCAGGCTGACTGGCCGCTGACGTGGACGCACATCACGCTCGCGACTGGCGTATCGGTGGGCTCCGGAATTGCCGGGCCCGAGGACGTCACGATGCTCACTCAGGCGACAACTTGCACCGCCATTCTATGCTTGCAGGTGTGTGACTGTAGCGGGGGTAGGTTCGCAGGAACACCGATTACTTACATGCTGTGGTTATTTCTGTATGGTTACAGATGTGTGTTACAGACGGGTGGTTGCAAAAAGGAATTGTTGCAGTTGTCTAAGAATCCAAACCCTGATTTTCTTGAGCATGTGCGACATCAGCGTCCCGATGCTTCACTTCACTTGCATTCTTTTTCTTTATGTATGCTTTTGCTTTTTGTTTGGTATGCGAACTGTACTTTTCTCACGCGTATTGTCGACCTTCATTTCATCATTCGTTTTCGACCTTGGGATTGGTTTTCCAAGCAATCGAGAGTAGTCGGTCGGCTGTGGTTTGGGCAACGCCCGCAGCCGCAGCAGTCTTGGAAACGCATGAACTGACCGCTCATCCATTGCTTCTTATTGCGTACTAAGCGTCTGCAGCCTCTCGAGGCGTATAATCAGTAGATGCTTTCAGCGTGCAATGGTGTAAGTTCAGGAGCTGGCAAAACGATGCGCGCTAAGACGCCCTAACATAGGACGACTTAACGGGATACTAACAACAGATTTTGGCGTTTAATAAAAGCTGCACAAAGATTCTTGGGAAAACTCAAAAGTGATTATGCTCAGGAGGACGAAAACGATGTTGTTACGGTTCCTTTTTTGTCGAGTGAATTGACCATGTTGAAAGTGCTCTTTCTCCAACATGTCGCCGTGTTCCGCATTCGTCCTTCTCTTCCCCATCCATGGCGCGGCGAGGAGTCTATGGAGTCACTCTCGTAGTTGACTGGTTTGTCGTAATTAGCGAACGGAAATAAGCGTTTTGCCATGCTGCTTCATTTCGAGTCCACTCCACTCAACCAGCAGTGTTCCACCAGCAGTGTTCCATCTCACTCCTCTCTCTCCTCGCTCTTCTCCCGTCCGTACGTGGCAGGGCGAGGAGTCCTTGGAGTCGTTCGGAGTTAACTGGAAGGCCGTTCAGGAGCAGGCGGAGCAGTGCGACGTCGCCATGTTCCGCGTTCCCGTGCCGGAATTCGACCAGCAGAAACAGGTAACCCGAGTAAGAACCAATGTGAGAAATTGACACTACTTTTTGTTCAACAAGTTGTAACCTTTTGCAACATATTATGAAGGAATTGATGCGATACACACAACTCTACATCTAGAACAGAGATGCAGTGACAAAACTTTTTGTTTGATTTATTACGGCTCAAAACAATGGTTTGTTTTTTATTTTCTTCCTCTTTTTTGTCGGAATTGCAGGTTGCTGGTATGGTGGAGGCGGTGCGTCTCCTGGCGTCGCTGCTGGTGACAGGTCACAGGGTCCACGTGGCATGCGCTACAGGGAAGAACTGCAGCCCGCTGGTCGTGCTCGGGTGAGTAAACGTGGTACTGTGTGGTTCAGAGTGGTTCTGCTATCCTAGGTTAGGTTGCGTGTAGTATTGCTGGGTAGAATGTGGTTCGGTGCTCCGACAGGTGGCATGAGCGACAGTAAAGCACAGGGCTGCCCGCCGGTCGTGCTCGGTTGAGTGCGGTGCTGCTTGGCTTATAAGCTGGATAGGGTCTGTATGGTAGTTCTCACACTCCTCCCTTCCCCCCCCACGCCCTCTTGTCTCTCCCGCACCCAGCTATCTGACGTTCCGTTCTTCCAGGGCCTGGCATGGAGCGAGGCCAAGGCCATGATCGTTGACAGCGTGCTGTTGAGTCAGATCGACCCTGGTCTAGCGCTCACGCTCCTCTCTCCCATCCCACCCGTCTCTCCCCCTTCTTTTCTTCCACTCTTCTCGCTCTCTCCCCAACGCAGCTACCTGACGTTCTTCCAGGGCCTCGCGTGGAGCGAAGCCAAGGCCATGATCGTTGACAGCGTGCCGTCCGCCGACCCGTCGCACGAGGCGTGGGAGCAGGTGAGAAGAAGACAAGAGCGGTGTGGTCGGCGAGGGGAAATCGGGGAATGGAAAACATGTGCTAGTGCGAGTGCGGTGCGGAGAGGGTAGTGAAGTGTGGGAGTAACAGGCCAAGGCTATGATCGTTGACAGCGTGCTGTCCGCCGACCAGTCGCATTAGGCGTGGGAGCAGGTGAGGGGGAAATGGGCGCAGGAAAAACGTATGCTAGTGCTGTGTTGAGAGGGAATGGAGCGGAGGAAGCTTCGGCCATGATGATCGTTGACAGCACGGAACAGAGCTATGATTGCTGGCAGAGTTGCGCTCACTGTTCTGCTCAAGAAGGATGGTCCAGGTGAGGGGAAATGGGTTCCGTAGGAGTTTGCATGTGTTAGGCTCAGCTCGTGCTGTCAGCAGCGGACGGGGTGGGCCCGCACAAAAGGTCGGGACAGGATGACGGAGCTGCCAGAGGAGCAGTACCAGCGCCGCATATAGCTGGGCGCGCCTTCCCCTTTAGTACTCCTTGTTTTTTGAGAATTCTCAAAAAACACGCACCTTCCCCTTTAGTACTCCTCTCACTCGATTCCCCTCTCTCCCCTCCCCCAATTCCCTGTCTCGCCCAGGCCCGGCTGGTGCTCTCAGCAGCGGACGGGGTGGGCGCGCACAGGATGACAGAGCTAGCAGAGGAGCAGTACCAGCGCCGCATAGAGCAGGGCGCGGGCGATACACCATGCCTCATCCTCTCACCCCATCCACCCATTCCCCCATTTTCCCCCTCTCCTCCCCGCTCCCCTATTCCCTGCCTCGCCCAGGCTCGTCTGGTGCTGTCAGCAGCGGACGTGGTGGGCGCACACAGGATGACAGAACTAGAAGAGGAGAAGTACCAGCGGCGCATAGAGCAGGGCGCACCTTCCCCTTAAGCACTCTTCCCGCCTACTTCCCCTGTCTCCCCTCCCCCATTCCCTGCCTGCCTCTCCCAGGCCCGGCTGGTGCTGTCAGCAGCGGACGGGGTGGGCGCACACAGGATGACAGAGCTAGCAGAGGAGCATTACCAGCGGCGCATAGAGCAGGGCGCGGGCGATACACCATGCTTCAACCCCCTACCCCTTCCCTCTCTCCCCCTCCTTCCTCCGGTATCACCCAGGCTCGTCTGGTGCTGTCAGCAGCAGACGGGGTGGGCGCGCACCGAATGACGGAGCTAGCAGAGGAGCAGTACCAGCGGCGCATCGAGCAGGGCGCGGGCGCGGAGGGCGGGGGGCAGACGGCAAGGGACGACTGGGAGGAGGCGCAGAGGCGACTCATCACAGAGACTCTCCAGCACAGGGTGTCCGCTGACGTCACCATCTCGCAGTCGCTCTCCAAGGCGGCATCTCGCCAGGCGTCATCCCCCAAGCCACGGGAGGTGCAGCCGAGGGAGGCGCAGAGCTTCTCTCCTGTGGTGGACTCGCAGATGGCGCCTCCACTGGAAACGCCCTTCCAGGTACCTCCTACCTCTCTGCAGCACAGGGTGTATGCTGATGTGGCCATCTCCCAGTCGCTCCCCAAGGCAGCATCTCGCCAGGCGTCTTCCCCCAAGCCACGGGAGGTGCAGCCGAGGGAGGCGCAGAGTTTCTCTCCTGTGGTGGACTCGCAGATAGCGCCTCCCCTGGATACGCCCTTCCAGGTACCTGCCTGCCTCCTGGCTTCCTTATTCAAATATGTATGGCATCCTCACTCTCTCTCACGCCCCCTCGCTGCTCCTCTCCCTCTCATCCCAAGCACTCCCCGTCCTACTACTCACTCCTTCCCACATGCCCTCCCTTCCCCTCCCCCATAGCAGCAGCCACACATCCTCGACTCAGTCTACTCATTCGTCAACGATCCCCCTCCCATGCATGGCCCTCTCTGCCACCTCTCATTGCCCCTCACTGCATTTGCATCCCTTCACTCCTATTGTTGTTACCCCCCTCCACCCTGTCCCCTCCCCTCACAGCAGCAGCCGCACATCCTTGATTCCGTCTACTCCTTTGTCAACGACCACCACTCTCACGCATGGCCCCTCGCTGCCCCGCCTCCCGCTGACGCGCCTCCTGCTTTTGAGGAGGGTGTACTAGGGGAGGTTGTTCTGGACGGGGAGGGTGTTGTGGGGGAGGTGTCATCTGGAGTGGAGGAGCGCATTGCACTGCTGGAGCAGAAGCACCTGGCGGCCATGGCTGCTGCTCGGTCTGCCACAGAACAGGTACGGGGAGAAAATCCGTGCACATACAGATTCCTTTTTTTGTGTATGCTTATAGCGAGTCGACTCAAGCACCTAGCGGCCATGGCTGCTGCTAGGTCCGCTACAGAACAGGTGTTGTGCATCCATGACCTATGCATATGCAGATACACATACATATTCGTATATGTACAATCCTTTACATCGCAACTACTGCCCCACCCCTTTAACTCACTTCTGTCATTCCTCCCTTCCCCCCTCTTCCTTCTTCCTGCCTCCCAGGAGCGATTCTTCATGCAGCACGTGAGCGAGCTGAGGGTGAGCGAGACAGCAGCGGCAGCAACGACACCTGTTAACCTTGCCCTTTTCCCTCTCCCTTTCCGCTCCGCCCTCCTCCCTCTATGCAGGTGCGATTCTTCATGCAGCACGTGAGCGAGCTGAGGGAGAGCGAGACTGCAGCGCGCATGGAGGCAGCAGCAGCACACGAGCGCATAGCCCTGCTCACCGCCCAGGTCGAAGCCCTCAACCTCTTCCAGCAGCAGCAACAGCAGCAGGAGGAGGAAGAAAGGCAGCAGCGTGAGAAGGAGCAGCAGGAGCAGAGGGAACAGCAGGAGTTGCAGGCTGCTGCGTTCCTGGGAGTAGATTCTGCAGCTGCTGCTGCTGCAGCGGCGGCGTCGGCAGAAGCAACGGCGGCAGCAGTGGCTGCAGCAGCAGCCGAGGCCGAAGCAGCCGCAGCAGCAGCAGCGGAGCGAGAATCGGCACTCCATTCCCAGCTCACGGAAGTTTCCCAGGAGCTTTCCCTCCTTCAGGAGCGAGAGAGGGAGCTTTTATCGGCCCACGAAGCAGCAGAGGCGAAAGCACAGGCAGCAGAGGAGCGGGCGGCTGACTTAGCTAACAGAATCGCGCAGATGGAAGAAATGGAAGCAGCAGCAAAGGAAGCAGCGGCGGTGGCTTTGGAGCGAATGCAAGCACTTGCCGAACAGGTGAAGGAACTTTCTGAGAAGGAGCGCGCGGCCTCCGCACGGATGGGCGAGATGGAGACGCGGCTGGAGGAGGCTTCCGAGAAATCGGCGGCGGATCACGACCTGATGGTGAAACTGGAAGACCGGGCAGAACGGGCAGAAAAAGAAGCGAGGAAGGCCCAGGAGGCGCTGGGAGCGGCCAACGAGCGAGTGAAATTTTTCTTCCGGGTGATGAGAGGGCTCCGGGATAGGGAGAGGGCAGCGAAAGAAGCTATGCACGCTGCGACAGACCGGCTTGAAGCTGCTGTGACTGAAGCGGAGAACCTCCGGAGGAAGGACGAGTTGATGCGAGAGGCGTGGGCGGTGGCGAGCGAGCGGATTGAGCTGCTGACGCGGCAGGTGCAGCAGGTGGAGGGGCTGAAAATGGAGGTGAAGCGAGAAGCGGTGGATGCTGCGAAGGTGTTCTTGCATGAGAGTGATGAGCACAGGCTGATGGCTGCTAGGGAGGAGTTGAGTGCGGCGGAGGAGAGAGAGAGGATGCTGCAGGCGCAGTTGGAGAGGCTGGGTGCTGAGCTGGCGGCGGCAAGAGATGACATGGCGGAAAGGGATGCCAGGCTGGCGGCGGTGGCTGCTGAGGTGGCGGAGAGGGAGCGGGTGGTGGAGGAGAGCCGGGCGGCGATTGGGGCGGCGGAGAAGAGGATTAAGGAGCTGGAGGAGCAGGTGGGGGTGGCGGAGGAGAGGGAGCGGAAAGCCAAGAGGGAGGCTGAGGAGGCAGAGGCGGTACTAGCTGCTGCTCTGGCTGCTGCCGAGACGAAAGACCGAGAGTATACCCTCATGGAGACGCCTCAGAAGACTGCTGCAGCTGCAGCAGCTGGAGCTGTTTCCGCTGTTGCTGCTGCTGGTGGTGCCAGCAGTGCTGCCGGTGCAGCAGCGAGCGGTGCAGCAGATCAGCTGATAGCCCGCCTGCAGTCGCAAGTGGCTGCCATGTCCAGTGAGCTTGAAGGGGCCCGCAACGCCGCTGCTGCTGCGAGCGAACGGAGTGCGTTCCTCATGCGGCAGGTGGCTCGGCTGAAGGGGACTGCTGCTGCTGACGCTGTGTCTCGGTCCCAGGGGGGTTCAGGAGGAGGGAAAGGGGAAGGGTCGAGCTCGAAACACAGAGTGGCGGCTTTAGAGGTGGAGATTCGAGCGTTGGAGAAGCGCGAACGGGCAGCGCGGGCAGAAGCGGAGGCGGAAAAGGCCCGGGTGCGGGAGCTTGCGGCGCAGGTCGGGCAGCTGGAAAGCAAGGAGCGTGCAGCCCGGGAGAAACTTCAGTCGTCGCAGGACCGGGTGGGGTTCTTCCTGCGTCAGGCTGTGGAGCTGAGGGAGAGGGAGGGCGCGAGTAAGAGCGCGCTAAAAGAGACTTTTAAGAAAGTGGAGGGGTTGTCGCACCAGGTGGGGCTGCTGCAGGGGGAGTTGGTGCGGGCGAGCAAGGAGTCCGGCAAGTCTACAGATGCTGTGGAGAGGCTGCAGCTGCTAACAATGGAGCTGAAAGAAAAGTAAGTGCTGTAAGGGTTGAAAGGTTTGTATTGTGGTATGAGGGTGAGTTGGCACCAGGTGGGGTTGCTGCAGGGGGAGTTGGTGCGGGCGAGCAAGGAGTCTGGCAAGTCTACGGATGCAGTGGAGCGGCTGCAGCTGCTGACCATGGAGCTGAAGAAAAGTACGTATATGTGGGAGGTTGGGGGGTTGTTTTGACGGAAGGGAAGGGTGTGAGAGAGATGGGTGTTTGGTGGTGAGTCTGGGAAGTCTACGGATGATGTGGAGAGGCTGCGGCTGCTGACAATCGAGCTGAAAGAAAACTATGTGGGGGAAACCCATGTTTACTTGCCCTTGATTTGCTTGCCCTTGATTTGCTTGCCCTTGATTTGCTTGCCCTTGATTTGCTTGCCCTTGATTTGCTTTCCCTTGATTTGCTTTCCCTTGATTTGCTTTCCCTTCTTTTCTTTTCTTTTCTTTTTTTGCTTTCCGGCTCACTTCAAATCTGTGCCCTGCACGGTTTTTTAGATGCATTGTGACAACAGTGGTAGTGGTCGTAAGATGTAACGATGATGAAGTGTGGTGGTGGTGGTGGTCAATGGCCATACTGACGAGTGTGGCTTTGGTGGTGGTCGCAGGATCCACGAGACGTCTCGAGTGGCCAGCAGCATCAAGAAGGTCCCTGGCTCGTCAAAAGTCAATGGATTCGAACGGTCGGGGGCAGGGCTTGGGGTGCTCAAGGCTCCTGAGCTCACTGCTTCAAATGCTGCTGCTGCTGCTAGCAATGCCTCTAGTAACGGAGCTGCTAGTGCTGCTGCTTCGAAAGGCGTGATAACAGGAAAGGGGAAGGAGGAGAAGAAGGATGATGACAATGATGACTTCCCTGGAGGGTCAGGCAGTGGGGGAGGAGGGGTAGGGGGACGAGGAGCGTCAGCTCAAGGGAAGGCAAGCAGCAGTGGCTCTCGGGCAGGCTCTCCCTCCTTTGGTGCTCTGGTGGGTCCCTCTTACTAAGCGTCTTTCTTGTGTGTGTTTCGAGTCTACTTGTAATGAGAGCAGCACTGGCTCTTGTGCTTTGGTGGGTCCTTCTCCCTCTTCCTCTCCCTCTCCCTCTACCATTCTTTCTTCCTTACAAGACACAGCTCACTTCACCTCAATTCACCTTGCTTCAGTCGCCACACCACACCTCACCCTACGCTCTTCATCTTCCGTTTCTGTTTCTTTCTGCCCACCTCCTTCCACCAGAAGGCAACCCAACACCCCACACAACCAAGCAGCACCGCTTTCTCCTTCCAGCAAGCAGCAGCAGCAGTCACAATAGCAGCAGCAGCCGCAGTCACAGCGGCAGCAGGAGCAACAGCAGGAGAGTACACAGGAGAACTCTCAGACACAGCAACACTGGTTGCTATGGTTACCACCCTCCAGTCCCAAGCCTCGTCTCTCCGAGCCTCCCGCCAAACCGCCCTCGCCTCCGTGGCGGCCTCCCATTGGCCGTTCCAATCGCTGCCCGTTTACGCTGCCCCGGTTAGTGCCTCTTCGGGCCACAAAAAGAAGGGAGGGAAAGAGAAGGACGGGAAGGGAGGAGAAGAATCCGGGTGGTGGTCGGACCAATCCCAGTCCCTGAAAGCAGATGATGCGTCTCCTGCCGCCCTCTCTCCCTCTTCCCCCACCTCTCCTCTGGATTCGTTTCGAAAAGCCCTCACCACACTGGCTCTCCCCATCCCCTTCCACCAACTGGGATTGAGGAAAAGGGGGTCTGCGGACCTTGTAGCAGGAGAGCCTGCACCAGAAGGACCTTCCCCAGGTAATGCCGAAGGTTCCGGGCGGAGGGAAGGGGGTGAGTGGGGATGGGTAGCTGCGGCAGTGCTGGTGCTCCTGCCACTGCTGCTAGGTCCTAGTGACGCTCTGGGAATGTGAAACGGTTGACTCTGGTTGACCTTTTGTTGGACTCTCTGTGCTGCTGGTTTATTTATGTATTACGTAGTATGCTGATCGTGGATTGAGGTTATGAGAATGTGTGTAGCAGCTGTTTCTGTTGTGATGCTTTAGCTTGCAACAGGGTTTGGATATGCCTGTATTATTTGGTACCTGGCTTAGATGTGCCTTTGGTTTGCAATACTCTATTACTTCTGTACAACTAATGAATGTGAATTTGTGAGGTTTGACCTGGGCTGCAGAATAGTGTTTAGTTTGAATGTGGTTTTGTAAGACTTTAACTTCAACAACCCACGCAGTACAGTTTGCTGTAATGAAACGTTGTAGCGACTTGCATCATAGCATAGACTTCTTATGTACAGTTTCTGATTCGCCTAGACCCTCCGCCAGATACAAATCCTGTATTTCGTCTACTCACTCCTGCGCCACTGTAAGGAAATTTCCTTTTCCTTACTTTGCGTCCACGCTCAGTGCGTACACCACTGTAGCACCACAGTTAGCACCGTTACCACTCGCAAACTCTCGCATCGACAACCCTCCTGTCAGAATGTTATATTTGTTCTCTAGCCTGCAGTGGGGTACTCTATAGCGAGTATAACCCCTTAGGGTTTCGTATATGTATCCCCTTGCTTGCTAGTGCAAACCCTCTTTTGCCTAACTTCTTTCTTGCCTAGCTAGGTTATTCCTAGCTATGGCTCCTACCGATTACCTCTTATCTTCACACCTCCCGCCACTTTCGCACATCGCACCCCGACCTCACGGCTCGGCGGGTAACCCGCGCTCCGGACCTCCGCTTCGACATTTTCCCAAACCTCAGTCCCAGGCCCGTCGCGCGACAACCACAGTCCATTACCGTTACCACTGTAGTTTCGCTATATATTCTTCGCTCATTGTACTCTTGCTTCGATAGTGCAATTCTCGCTCGCTCACTCAATTGCACTCGTACCGTCATCGCCCGGATAGAAGACATATATGTCTTATCTTATACATTAGAAAAAAAGCTTGCTGTGTCTTGTAATTGGGATGGTTGAGGGTGAGAAAGTACGAACGAGAAGTGGAATGACTATGAACGAGGTGAGTACAAATAGGAGACCCTAATTGGGTTGTACCCCCTATGGGATACCCCACTATAGCCTACAGAAACAAGTAAGCTATAAGTTCTGACACACCCCCATAGGCAAAGTGGGGGAGAACAAGGGGTCACAAGACCGGTCAAGCAAAGCAAAGCAAAGCTCAGGGTGGATCACAAAGTCACCACGCATTCCGAGCACAAGTTCAAAGGCCACAAGGCCAGTTCACATGCAAGATCATATATAGAGATATACAAGAGCAAGAGTATATATATGCGAAAGTACAAGCAAGGTCAAGAGGAGAGCAAGTGAGGCAATACAGGCACAAGACCCAACTGCGTGCAGCAACGCTGATGATCACAAGGCGCAAGTGCCTTGGTGAAGACATCAGCAGTGTTGGCCTCAGAGGCCACGTACGCAAGTCGCAGCTGTCCACGCTGCTGTAGCTCACGAGCAAGAAAGTAGCGAAGAGCAATGTGCTTCGTTCTGTGCTCCAGTCGCTGCTCTCGACACAAGGCCAGCATGGCCTTGTTGTCTACGTACAGGACTGGAGGAGAACGAGGCTGCTCTCCAAGGTCGGTCAGCAGGTAGGTGAGCCAGCGTAACTCCTGTGCAGCCATGGCCCCAGCGTAGATCTCAGCCTCACAACTGGAGCCGAGAACAGAAGACGAGCGGGTAGCCCGCCACGAGACAGAGCCGGAACCAAGGCTGAAGGTGTAACCCTGTGACGACCGCTGCGTAGCCTGGTCGTCAGCCCAAGAAGCGTCTGCGTGCCCAGTGAGGACCACTGGACTGCGCCCTCCAAGCACTAGCCCCATGCCCGACGTACTGCACAAGTAGCGCAACACCCTCTTCGCTGCAGCCATGTGCTCTGGTCGGTGTCTCCCAGGAGCAACAAAGCGTGTGAGAATGCTAAGAGGGTATGCGAGGTCAGGTCGTGTGCAGGTCATCAGGTACATGAGGCAGCCAACAAGCTCTGCAAACGGGCCACTCGACTCTACGGACTCATCCGAAGGCAGAGCTGAGAGCGAGTGGCGAGTAGGCAGAGGAGTGGCCTGAGGCGAGGAGTACGTGAAGCCGAAGCGCTGAAGGACCTGCTGCACCATGTGTGACTGAGTCAGGGTAATGGTGCGGCGTGCTCTGTCCCGGGTGATCTGCAAGCCAAGGTAGCTGCGCAGTTCACCCAGGTCAGTGCACGTGTGTCTCTTCTGCAGCTCGGACTTCACGTAGGCGAGTCCAGCAGTGTCAGCTGTGGCAAAGACCAAGTCGTCGACGTACACGAGGATGTAGAACGGCGGCAGAGAGGTGTCGGTGCGCAGAAACAGCGACGGGTCGGCAGTGGAAGGAGCAAACCCAAGTGCCGCGAGCGTAGTCCTCAGTGTGTCGTGCCACTCACGTGGCGCCTGGCGGAGACCGTAGACTGGACGCCGGAGACTCCACTGGGTACCAGGAGGGAAAGACCCAGTGAAGCCAGGTGGGCGACGCAGCCAGATCTCCTCGTGCAGGCTGCCCTGCAAGAAAGCTGTGCTGAAGTCGAGAGAGTGCAGCTCGTAGTCACGGTGAGCAGCAACGTGTAGCAGAACCCGAAGAGTGGTCATCTTCGGGGTGGGGGAGAAGGTCTGAAAGTAGTCAACCCCCTGCCGCTGACTGAAGCCACGAGCCACGTAACGCGCCTTGAAGACAGGCGGAGAACCCGGCGGCCGTTTCACCCTGAAAATCCACATGCCACTGACGATGTTTGCCCCAGGAGGGGGAACAGCGTCAACGTAGGTGCCTGTGGACTTCCAGGAAGCCATCTCTGCATCCATAGCTGCCTGCCACTGAGAGGAGTAGGGACCCTCTATCGCCTCCGCGTAAGAGCGCGGAGTCGGGATGTCTGGTGCATCCGGGTCTCCCTCAGGGGCTAGCAGTACAGACGCGAGACGAGGTGAAGCGGCGGCCAGACACTGGAACTCCTCCTGCCTGTCCTCAAGGACGTCCGTGCCAAGGGCACACTCACCCCCGACGGACGGAGGACAGGCGGACTCAGACTCAGTGACAAGACGAGCAGCGTAGTCTAGACGACAGCGCGCAGCAAAGTCGACAAGCTCAGTGACAAGGGCAGACGCAGCAGACGACTCGAAGGAGGGGTCAGTGACAGCAGTAGCCAGGAGACGCGTGACAGTAGGACTGGCAGCACGAAGAGCGTCCGACTCCGGGTCGGCAAGAGCAGGAAGAGAGGAAGCAGGAGGAGAAGGCAAAGGGGCACGCAGAGGAGCAGTGGACGGACGCAGTGACATCCGGTGCGTGCCAGGGACAGGAGGAGGCCGCTGACGCGACCCGCGACCACTAGCGCGCTCAATACGAACAGGCGACACAGGACGAGACGCAGGCTCACGACGCTCAGTAAGACCTCCAGTCGGACCAGCGTAGGGAGAAGGAGCAGGCAAAGGGGAGGCAGGCTGTAGCTGTGGCTGTGACCGGACAGGCTGCGGACCCTCTAAGGGAGGAGGAGGAGGTGTAAGACCAAGAACCTGCTGCCGGAGCGGAACGAAGTACGGTCGGGGCCGCGCGGCGACGCTAGAAACAGCAGGAACAGCACCAGCAGCCCCGGCAGGAGCACCCACTCCAGCAGCACCTCCAGCAGCACCAGAACCTCCAGCCGCAGCACCAGGAGCACTGTCAGTCGAGCCGCCAACGGCAGGCTCAGCGCCAACACCCTCAGCAGGACCAGCTCCAGGAGAACTCTCAGACTCAGCAGCTCCAGCACCCACAGTACGAGCGCCGGCGGGGCGCGCAGCAGCAGTGCCCTCTGCAGCCGAAGAACCACCAGCACCAGCAGCACGCCTCCAGCGCCCGGCAAACCACTCACGCAGCTCCTGTGGGGAGAGTGGCTCCCGGCGAGACGAAGCACCCCCAGGCACAGCACCCCCAGGCACGGCACTCCCAGGCTCAGCACCCCCAGGCCCAGCACCCCCAGGCACAGCACCCCCAGACTCGGCACCTCCAGGCTCAGCACCCCCAGGCACA